AAAAAGATCAATTAAGCAGTAATGAGGTTTTTTGACTATCCAAAAATGAAACTGACAATTTCCTAGTTGTGGCTGAAAGCTTATTGGTGTAAAAGTATTTTTTACACTGTCTCTACGGTAGTATATTTGGGTTAAATATATTTAAACTTAATGATGTTTTCTAAAACGGAAATCGGTATTATAAAACTGAAGGTAGAAAAAACGGAAATATATTACCTCATTTTCTCCGTTCCATTGTTCAGCTGCATCCAATAAATATGTACATACTGAGCAAGTAATATTTTCCGAATATTTTGTGCATGGTGCGATGCAAATATTTGTACGTCTGTTAGCAAAATTGATAAGATTGGGTAAGGAGAGTAATTTTTCTTTCGGAATAGTATTAGCCTGACTCTGAAGCTTGTTACAAACTCGGCAACGAATATTTTGCTGTGAAGTTGAAACTGCGGTAGCGGTAGAAAAGAGAAGGAAAAAAGCCAGAAGACCGTAAGACAAGTACATCGTTTATACAACCAGTCGTAATGATTTATCATGAGCAGTTTATATTCTTAAGTCAATTGATAAGGTCGAAAAGTTCCAAGATTCAACTACATACTTCTGAATTTTATTTCATACTAAAGATATTAAAAAAGAAAGACGAAAAAACTGAAATTAGAAAATATGTTTTGTATGCAGCAAAATTAAACTGTTTTTTTTAACAATGTTACTATTCACGCTAACTTTTCACAGAAATTAAGGCTGAAATTTGTAGCTGCTGATACCCATTAGTTATAATAAACACTAATTCAGTTCCCTTACAGACGACTATTTATGGGCTATTTACGACTATATGTTAAATGATAATAGAGTGGAAATACGAAAGCAAATTTACGTGATATTAAAAAATTAAAATTAATTTAGTGAATAAACTTTTGTAAAGTTTGAGATTATAAAATTGTTTCTTTCGTGTGAAGCTTCTAAAAGAAATTTAACTTTTTTTTTGACTTCTTTTTTTGGTAGCTAATCAAATTGTTGTTGAGTTTTTTACTTCTCTGTTCCTTCTCATCAAATATAATTGACAGATAACGCTTTTTAAATAAATGGTTCTGTTCTTTTTGTTTGCTTGTTTTTTTTTTTTTTTTTTTTTTTTTTTTT